AATACCCTCTAGTTAAGGCCACAAATTACTTAAAACAGCAGCCAAAAGAAAGGACAGGCAGCCAGGCAGCGTGGCAGCAAGGATTATGGCATCATTCACCATGGCGCATGCAAATGGGCACTGAAATTAATCACGACGAGCGCCAAGGATCTGACAGTCGCCATGGCACCATGACCACCAGCTACGGCATCCCCGTAAGTTGCTTTTTAATTGATCGGAATCGCGAGATGCGGCGACAACTCCTTGGAGGACAACTCCTTGGCTGGTCGCCGCCTCTAATTGCAGTCTGACTCTCTGGCACATTCATCATTTCGAATATATATAGTATTATATATACAAAAATTCATAATCATTCCAAGGGCGGAAGTGGGTTCGAAATGCAAATGATATGCCCAGCTAGACACACTCCGCCGGTTCAAAAGTTATCTTCTGCATTGCAGATAGAGCGAACATCCTCCCGAGTCCTGTGACTTTACTTCACTTTTGCCAAGATCCTAACGACTGACACGTGAGAAGTTTTTAACACGTACACGAAGAGGCCAGAGAAATTTACGAGTTGCTGCCGCTGCTGCTGCTTGCTGCTTCTCCAACTACTTGGTGATTTATTTTCCACAGTATGAATTTCCTTGAAGCCGTCTTGTTTTTCTTATTATTATTTCGTTTTGCTACTTTTTTTGCTTTAATTTTTATCACTCTCTCCCAGTCTGTGGCTGTCTGAAGGTGCCACACAGGTAGCACGCGATAAGACTGGCCGCCGCCGCCGCCGCACACTCGAAAAGCGGAAAACCGCAGGTGAAAAATCCTGGAGAGGAGCTGGAGTTGCGGGGAATGGAAAATAAAACTGAAAGCCAGGCGCACAAGAAGGAAATGCAAAAAATGACACGAAATCGTTAAGCGACAACCAGCAACTTCGACTTGAACTCAGAGCAGCAGAGCCTGACACTTGCAACTCCGCCACTCACTCCACCTTCTGATTTTTCCCATTTCCCGCTCCTTTTCTCTTTTTTTTTCGCTGTTTGCTCCTCGACTAACAAGCGTGCCCAGGCAACGGAAATACTTGCCCCCGTTCGCGGCAAGTGTTGCGGCGATAAGCAGTGCCACGCCTACTCAACCTCAGCAGAACCTGCCTCATGCCTCATGCTCCATAGCAAAAATACGACCCCTTTTACTTGGCTCGCACTTGAAACGATATGCAAATGTGCATGTGGCAGCCCTCGGGGGCCAGGTAAACAAGCGACCCTCGCCAAAACTCTTTTTGTAACTCTTCAACATTCAACATTCCCAAAAAAAGTAACAATTTATGTAACGAACTACAGTGGTGGGCAGATTAATAGCACCACTATTTGGTAAATATATTGGAATAAGGGAAATATTGAAATATACTTTGAGGTTTATAAAGCCAAAAATATTTTTAATTTAATATTCTGATATTGAAGTCATAAAATAAGAAACTTTTTTATAACTTTTCCATAACTTTTCTGCTAATTTGCGTAATGTAAGACCTATTTTTCCACCCTCAGCTGTACAAAAATGAAATCTTTATCGATAGATTGTTAGGGGGCCATCGATGACAGCGATATGACAGGGATATGGATTGCAGCTAGATATATCCAGGCAGATATGGATATGGACACGGATGATGAAGGGCTGGCTGAGCTCTCTCTGCATGAATTTCAATTTTCCCATAAACAAAAAATGCGGGTAATTTGTGTGTGCGTGGATTTTTGCGATCGATTTTGTTTCCATCGGTTGTCACTCTTGTCACACACAAAGGCAACTCTGGCATGCGTATGAGTCATCCCTCCTGCTCTGGCTGCCCTCACTCTTACTACCCAACACTCATGATGGGTTTTTCACAGTTTTCCAGCCTGAGGAGGCAGGACATGCAGCTTTTTCTGCGGTTGATTTTAAATTGTCTGCCCAGAATTCACCCAAAAAAAAACAAAAATGAAGGAAAAACCCGTCATATGAAAAATGCATAATAAATGAGCTTGATTGCCGAATCGGCGGAAAAGGCGGTGGCAGTGGCCGTGGCCGCGACAGTTCAAACACGCCTTAAAGCTTTATTGCTAGCCAACTTTCCCTGACTCTTACACATTGATTGATTTTTCCTCGTTGTTTCTTTCTTCCCAAAATTGTTATAGCCAAGGCGTTTAACTATCGAAGTGGAGGCGTGGCCATTACAGAAATTGAGTTGTTTTTAAATGCAATGGGCGGAAACTGAAAAACAAACTCCGAATGAGCCATAAAACTAGCAGAAGAATTGCTTTTAACCAAAGAACATGGAAAAGCATGTGTCATAGGTTTCCTTTTTATGGTGGATAGTAAAATGAAGATAAATTCTAAGTACTAGCAATGATAAAATTAAACTTTTTTAGAATATTTTTTATTTGCTCATATGAGTTATGGTATTACCATATTTTTTAAGTTTAAGTTTCCAGTTTTTATACCCCTTTGTAGAGTAAATAAAATCAAAGCCAACACATAAACTAATTGTATGTTTTGGGCCATGGAAAACATTTCCACAATGTGTCGCTGGATTATAAATATTTAATGCGTTTCTAATTGTCCGGGAATGCACACAGATGCCGGCACTTTCGCCCACACTAATCTACATTGTATTATGCACGGCACTCATATCGCAAAGTTGAAATGATTTATTGTTTTCAAATTTCCCATTTAGCTCTCTCGCGTCCTCTGTCTCTGAATTATGCTAAGTGCTTTAGCATTAGGCCAAAACCCAAAACATGCCTTTGGCCAAAAACAACAACAACAGAAATATATAATATATATTCAAAATAAAAACATAATAAAAACAAAAACAAATGCATTAAATTGCATTTAAAACTAATTAAAATTGTAGACAAGCACTTACGCCGACATTATTTATTATTGTTACTGCTGGCTGCCTGCTTTTGTGGTATGTTAAAAAGGCTTTGTCGTAATGAGCTTACCTGCAATTAAAAGAACAAATAGAGAGTGAGTATTTAGTAACTAACTAAATGGCATTAAGGGCATTTGAAGTTCATTAAAATTACAAACAGAAAAACACTCCCCGCAAAGAGGTCCAACTCAATCAGAAGTCGCTCAACCTTACACATTCCCATTGAGGCACTCATTCATTCACTCAATCATTCATTCAGTTCACTCTCTTATTCTCCATTTTTCCAGTTGTCCACCTGCCTCAGGTAATTTGTTGCTCAGTGACCAGCGTGGCAACAAAGGCCCAGAGACATAGAAACGCAATCCCATGTCGACCAGGATCCTCCATCTCTCAACTGCATCTTTTCCAATCCAAACCCTTTTTGTCTCTGTGCGTCCATAAAAAACCGAAGAGCGAGGAGCATAGGAAAATTGAAATGACATCGAATGAAAATTCCCGTACGTGTCCCAAACAATATAAAAGCCAAGACCAAAAACCCAAACCCAATCCCAATACCAATCCCAATGCCCGAGATCCATGGGGAGTAATCGCTCTTTCTCCGCCGCACATAGACAAAAAGGAAAACCTCTCTCATGTGGGACGGCGCAGGCAAAAAAAAAAAATAAAGGGAAAAAAGAAAAGTGTCCAAGTAATCGAGCAACTTCAATTTGCTTTCCCTCTGACTCTCCCTCTCTCTCTCTTTAGTTGGTTAAATGAAAATTGTCAAGCAGAGTTTTTCCGCCCTCCTCCGCTCTTTATGATTCCATTTAGCGCCTGGCACGCCAATTACAATGACAATGAATAATTATTCAAGACCAAAGACCAAATCCCGGACAGGAATTTTAATGCAGCCAGCTGCTGCTCTCTATTTTTCCCAACCCCCTCCCGTTGCAGAAAATTTTCCCCGTTTCATGCTAAATTTTAATGAAGTTCATCTCTATGGCATTTCTCTCTCTTTGTTGTGCAAATTGTCTTAGCCCTATATATATATGTATATACGCGGATAATTCCAATTGCCGAATGCAAATGCATTACCCATTAACAAAAGACATTAATTACTTGAGAGAATGAAAAATGAGGCTGAGGGACTTTCCACTGCGCCGTTTAATTGCCAAACATTTTTGCACATATGCACAAATTAGTGTGACAATTGTTCGGCCACGTTAATGATGATGATGATGATGGTTATGGGAGCTACCATACGATATTGCATTACATTACTGAAAACCAACCCAGCACCCAACACCCAATAGCAATCTGAAATCCCAAGCCCAAGCCCAATCCCAATCCCAAACCAAAATCCCGTTGACAATTTTCGCCATTAGGTGGGCGACGACAGGAACCATCGGCATTATATCAATTACCCAACGTATCACCCACCCCCATTCAACCCCAAAAACGCACAGCCATCGCCATCACCATCGCTATCGACCTCCTCTGAAATCGAGCATTGCAATTGATGAAATAATTTGCTGCACTGACATTTTTGGTTGCCATCGATACACCGAAACAGATGCAGTACAACGGTAAGGCCGAGTTTTAGAATGGACAGTTGTCGGGCCACGCCTCTCCCGCCACCACCACCCACAAAACTGAATTGCATTGTCCATCAGCTAGCTAACATCATCATCCCAATATATGTATATATCCCTCTATTTCTCGATTGCGTAACAGCTGCATCAATGATTTGATTTGATTTCCTTAGATAATTGCCAAACTGAAACATGTGCGAGAATTTTCCGGGACGAGGAGTGGAGAGTGGGAGTGTGTGCCTGTCCCAAGGGTGATATTCGATGATGACGGCAACCACTAAGAATTAATCAGAGCGGAATATCAAATTGAGCATCCTAAATAATTTCATTCATATATATATGTATAGTTCGGGATAGATAGACCCTAGAGAGTCCAAGTGTTGAAATGAAGGCATGGACATGGGGATCAGATTCGGGTCTTAATGGCTTGATGATGGATGATTTCATTGGCTTGATTTATGCAGAAATGTGTATGTGGAAGGAAAATACCCTATAATGGGGAACATTTAAACATTTTTTGTTTATCATTTTATTTTTTAAACATATTTTTTTTGGCGCTATCATCAAGTTTATTTAAGTTCTTGGCTGAGCAACTAACCCAACCGTATAACTCGTAAGCATTTTTTTGAAGATTTGCGCGTTTTTTACATTTTACACAGTTTTGTCAGAAATTTTGTTGTATTTTTTGTTACAAATTTCATGTTTTATGTTTTTTTTTGTATTATTATTTATTTTATGTTTTTTTTTAAAGCTTTTTTTGTAATTTTTGTCTATTACCTAAAAACCTAAACTTTTCTAGAAAAGTACTAATTTTTTGATGTAAAAATGTGTAAGGCCCTACTCTCTACAAAACTGATTTATATTTATATATATTTTTTTTACATTTTTCAAATTTTGTTAATTTTTTTGTTGATTTTTTTTTTTAGTGATTTGTTTTACCAGGCTTTATTTATGTTTATTAAGCAATCATCTTGCTCGGAAGCTTGTGAAAACAAGTTTAGTCGTTGAGGTACGCAAACACAGTGAGAAAACATTTTGTTGCATTTTTCGCAGATTCTTGTGGTTTTTTTTGCGACCGACTTTGCGTTGAGATAGATATAGAAGTGTTTTCATATTTATTTGGTCATTTCACATATAGTGAATCGAATCGAAATCGGCTAATTTCCTACTATGCATATTTAATTATCCAACGTCAAATTTAAATCGGTTTAAAAGAGCGTCCGGCAACTACTACAAAAAACTTCCGTTCACAACCTTTCAATTTTTTTTTACATCCTGATTACCGGTTTTATAAAATGATTTTCTATTCTTTTTTGGATGAGGATTGTATGAGTGGGTGTAGATTTTGTTCTTCTATGTGTGCTGTATTTTTTGGATTTTCATTTTGATTTGTGATGATAATGATGAGAGTTTTTTTATGCAATCGGTGGCTCTGTGCGTACAGAGTCATCCTTGGAGGTCATCTTCTCGGAGATATTGTTTTTGGTGCCAGCACTTTCACTGTTCGTATCATCATCATTATTGTTGTTGTTGCATTTGCCGGCCAGGCTATCCGCTTTTCTTTTTATCTCATCCCAAATGGCAGTCGATGCCTTGTCCACCATTTGTGTCGAAGGTCGCGATGATGTCATCTTACCAGTAGATCTGGAGGAGCCTCTGTTAGCCAGCATCTGCTGGTTCTGACCGTCGAAGAACTCATTCTCCGAATCTAACGTAGCCTGCTGCATCAGAATGGTGGGTCCATCATAACCCTCGAATATAGAATTTAGAGTCCTTGCGGTGTCCAGTCTTCTATAGCTGGCCATAAATATGGCTCTGATCCGCTCAAAGGTATCCGAATCATACACTGACCTGGCTGTATTCGTCTGATCGAAGGGCTCTTCGATGCACAGCTCATTCCACTGGTGTATATCATTCTTGGGTGCCGTGGCCACCCGGCAAACTTCTATGGGCAGGACACCACCAACCCGTATGGAAATGGCATATTTTCCATACTCGAACATACTGTAATAGTGCAAGAAACTCAGCAGCAACTCACCCAGAGATTGGGTGTTCTCCGACTGATACGGAGGCATTACCTCATTCATGTCCACATATCCAAAATCACTAGGCTGCAGTAGTCCAAACTTATCCGGATATAGTTTGTGCAGGCATGGCAAAACCGGAGGATTAACTCCTACTTGCAGAAAATGTATGACCATCAGCATGAGGGAGTAACTCGAAATGGTCATATTCTTGGCATTGTTAATATTATGATATTGGGCCCACTGTTTCACCGTCAAGGCCATGGGACGAACTCGCCAGTCCAGCTGGGAATAGCAGTACAGGAGATGGGTATTCCTGATCCCAACAGAGTTATTAAAGTTGATGTCCACCTCAACTTTATGTTGTCGGTCGGTGAAACGCAATATGGGCACTCTGGCTTCGATTAGATTGAAGTCCTGGAACATATTCGTGTGATTTAGCAGGTCCTTCATCAGTTGCAAATGATAAACGGCCTCCATGCGGGGATCAATGTTGGGATTCGTGCAGGCCAACATGCATATGTCCATGTCCGAGCACTTGGAACCAAAGTTCGAGATAGAAGATCCCACCAAATACAAGCCATATCTGGGATAGTTAGTCTGCAGATTGTTGGGGAACTCAAAACTATATCTTTTTTAAATTATAACCCTTACAAAACTCACCATGGCCACTGTGTAAATGGAACGCCATAGTCTCATCTTGGTCTTGTAAACATGCCGCGTCTGCTGAGCATCGAGGAACTTCTTCCAAATCGAAAGGGACAATGGCTCCCATTTCTTTCTATTGGCCTCGTTTTTCGGTGGTCTTTTCATTTCCACTAACTTGGCTCTGAGCAAAAAGCGATCTGCTGGCGTATAGCCAAAGAACTCGCGCCAATATCGATTGTGAATCACCAAGGGCAGCTCATCCTCAGAAGTTTCTTCTATCTTTGGGGATTGGGATTGGGAATAGGGTATTAGCTGATATGAGAAAACAGAATTTGGAGTTCTCTATAGATCATTTTTAGAATATTTAACTCAATGATAATACATTTTTGTTGGTCAAATTGAACAAGATTTTATTTCACAAATTAAAGGCTTAAAATCTTTTTCTTGACCATGAAAAATGATCTATAAGGAAACCAAAATCGTTTCAAGAAAATTTTCTAACGGATTCGTAGGTGTCTGGGAACCTGAAGTTGACCTACCATTATGATATTGGCCTTGGCAGCCGTTCCAGGCATGTCACTCTTGCTGGAAGAGGCGGACGGAGTGCAGGATAGATTGGACTCCACCGAGTTGTCATCATGCTCCTCAGCTATCTCCTTCAAGTGTCTCTTCCCATTGCCAAAGACATCCTGCTGGTCCAGCTTAAAGACCAAATCGTCCGACGGCTGACTCAACATATCGCCGCAGCAACTCATTCCTCTGGGACTGAGTTGCGGATGGTAAGGGCGATACGAATGATGATGTTGCATCTGGCATCTATACCCGTTGGTTGGACCAGTTGGCTGTGACTTCTTCTCCAGCTCCTTAAGATGATGCATATCGCCGTAGGGAACCAGATTTGGACCACTAAGATCGGGCTCTTGAGCTCCAGTGGCCAGGGCTAGGCAGCTGACCATTATATTCCGCACCACCGACTCCACGGAGGCATCACTGAGGTCACTCTCGGTTACATCACTCTCTACACTGAGAGCCAAGCTGACAAAGGAGTGGCCATCATCACCGTCAACTTCGGAACTTGGGCGTGATTGCAGCAACGAGTTGGCGTCCAGCTCGGAGGTGTCCTGCTTAAAACCTAGCGGCTCCAGGTCGGAGGATAAGCCGCCATTGGCTGGATCCAGACCCAAGTCAGCCAGTTCCTGGCGCTGATCAAAGTCCGATTCCAGCGGCTGCTCGCCCTCCGAGTTGGCGCTGCTGGCCGTGACCGTGGCTGCTCCGCCGCCACTAGATCCTGTAATACCTCCTCCTGCTACTCCTGCCATTTGTACTCCTCCTCCTCCTACTCCTGGTGCTGCTGCTGCTGCTGTGGATCCCAAAACTGGTGCTCCCGTTGCACCAATCATATAGTGTCCGGGTTGATAGACACAGCCATCCATGTGACGGGACTGATAGTAACGTGATTGCTGTCGATTGGCAGTTTGTCCTTGATATGTATTCGCTCCTTGAAACTTGGCAGCTCTGCGACTCCCAGGTTGTGGCAGAGGTGGTGGCTGATAGGTACTCACAGGTGAGGTTGGTGTCACTGGTTTTGGCTCCGCTGGTTCTACTACATTGTAACGCATCCGGTTCCTATAAGTGCGATTCGGATGCTTGGGTGTCGAAATGGATGTGCTCGAACTATGCCGACGGTCCAAATGGGATTTCGAGGAGGAATTCGAAAGAGATCCGGAAGAGTGCGAGGTATGATCCTTGCTCGCCGAGCTCTTGCCACCCCTCTTGTTACGATTTCTGGAATAATTATTAGAAGAAGCTCCTCGATTTCCCTGCTTATTGGTCAAATTCTGATCGCTAGGGCTGGCTGCTCCTGCAGTGGCAGAATTTGTGGCCACCGCTGCTGCCGTGGCTTCTCCTCCGGCTGTAACAGCTCCTGCCTGAAAATTACGGGAATTCGCAACAAAGGGAGCTTTAAAGCGTGGTCCTCCACCCATTCCGCCGGTGATGCTGTTATAGAATGTCTTTGAATCCCTGTGAATTACAGTGGTACTCGTTGCAGCGGGCAAAGCCTGTCGTCCGGATCCGCGCTGTGCTCCTGGTCTGCCATAACGCCAGGGGCTGCTTACCTGCGGAGCATTTCCAATGCTTGGAACGGCTTCCTCGCTAGTCTCGGTACCCACCGCTGGCTGGGCCAACAGTTGTGGCTGCTGGGCTACATGACGATTGGTTCTAGCCATTCCTGGCACTGCTGCCGCATGTATTCCGCCCGTGGCCTGATTGAAATATCCGGGATATATAATTCGCTGTCCATATGGATGCTCAAAGCCCACCGGCATCATTGGTATCCCATACTGGGAGGAGTACGCCTGGTTGTAGGGATAATTTCTGTCAAACTGCCAGACGGCATTCTCCGTATGCCACAAGCGTCGCTGGGGCCCAGTGGGTAAGTATCCCTGGTAGATGAACTGAGCAGCTGGCATGGCCGCTGCGCCAGTTGGCAATCCACCAGGTGCAACCGATCCAGTCACTCCTTCGGCTCCTGATCCTGTAGAGGTAGTTGGTGTTGTGGGCGCTGCTGTTGCTGCTGCAGGTGCTGCCGCTGTCGCTGTCGCTGGTTTTGCACCTGCGGTTCCTACTCCTGCGGGATAACGCATTCCGGATGAACTGAAGCCAGCGGTACGTGGTGTTGCCACTCCCATGGTAGACAGTAACGGCATAGGGTTGGTTAGCAAAGGAGGCGTGGTTCGCATCGTTCTTGGTGTTATCGAAGAGGGCGTGGGTATATTAAGAGTCATGCCAGCCATGCCACTGCCGATCCCGTAGAGAAACTCCATGGAGTACTTGTAGCCACCCGGCGGTCGGGGGCAGGTGTGTACTATCGTAGTCTTGCGTTGCCTCCTTGGTTTTGGGGCACCAGATTCCAAATCTTCGGCTGCGTCTTTTCCAGATTCTTCGGTTTCCAAAGCTTTGGGAGCAGCAATGGCTCCTGCTCCTTCTTCAATTTTTGTGGTGGTGTTCAAGACAGTGGTGGTGGTGGTAGTGGTGTTGGTTGCCGGTGACGCTGTGGTGTTGCTAATGGTTGTCGTTGTTGTTGCTGCTGCTGCTGCTGTTGCTGCCGCGGTGGCACCCGAGGATGCCGCTGCTGCCATTGCCAGGGCAGTGGACATTGCTACCGATATGGCCTAATCACGATCCAAACGACATATATCTATATATATGTGCGTACGCAAACGCAGATTGCTAAAGAATATGTTGTGTGTCCGGGACTCTAATCTGTCACTCCTAGTAAGCAAAGAGTTGACAGCAAATTGAACGCCGGACAATGTTCGATTCGATTTTTTAAAGATCTTAGAAAGGGTGCTCTGGAAAATCAGGGAAACCCCAAGATAAAGCTTTTCGTAAACGAAGGGTATTGTTATTACACTACCTTAAGGTGCCGATCTGAAGGGTTTCATTCTGTCCCAATTTCGGTGTTTTTGTATATAGAATTTCCACGATTTTTTGATAGAATTGGTTTCTCAATGCTCCCACAATTTGTACAAAAATTTTTACACAATTTTCACTAATCACGATGCACGCCAGTAAAAAAAGTTACCTGTCATGTATTTCTGGCAAGCAGAGTTGCCAAGTTTCCACGATTGTTGTTCCACGATTGTTGCATCTAGTGTTGGGCAGAAAGTGGCACACACTCTCACACACACACACACACACACACATATTGAACACTTTCACTTCAAAGTGATTTTTCCTTTAGCCCTGGTTTTCCAGGATTCACACTCTTCATTTTCCGGGTGGCAATCCTTTCAACTTTCTCCACACTCTCGCCACACTTGAGCTAAATTTTCCACTGACGCATTGACTTAAACAAAGAAGGCTTTCCGCAAAAAGCTGACACATTTATTTTTTTTTTGTAAAACAAGAAGGAAAATCTGCGCCATCCACTCAACATAGTTCCATTGAAAGACGACTCAGACTCCCTGTTTTCAGCCTCTTTCTTTGTCTTTGTACTGCGTTTACAATTTGATTTGCTTATGTAAATTATGAAGATTGCCCACAGAAAGCAACCGCAGCTCCAAGGATTCAACAAAATTCAATTCGATTTGCCGGCTCAGCCGAAAAAATGCAACCAAAAATAAAAAGAAAAACGAAATATAAAAAAAAGAAATTGCGTTCTCTTCTGTAATTTGAAACAAATCAAATTTATTACCCCAGACGCAGCGGCGCCATTGGCAATTTTCAGATGCGGCCAGATGCGGTGAGCATATGAAATGAGTCTCGGTTGGAGGTGAGGCGGTGGGTTGGAATTGGTTTAGTCTACGTGCATATTCAGATACGGGCCATCCGGATGCTCACATATTCTAATTAGATTTATAACGCAACAATAACTGTGCTCGGTTTCTCCATTATTTCGACGCACCCTGCTCCTTCTCCTTTCCACGGCCAGATTTTCAAATATAAAACTTTCCATGAATTATGGTCAGAGCACAGGACAAAGGGGTGCAGCAGATGCACTGAGAAAAAGGGTTTTACACGTTTACAGATTTATTAAATGTAATTCTTTATCATTTTTTATTATTAACTAATGATATCTTAGTAAAAAACGTATTTTCTCAAAATAACCAGCTCAAAAAATTCTTAAAAAATATATTCTCAATATTTTTCCAAGTGTACTTAGTCAATTTCAAAGATAAACCAACAAAAGATAGGTCTCTGCCATAAAACTCGACGTGGAAATCGGTTGAGTCATGCCATATTAGTAGGCAAACCTCCCCTCCGCTTCCTACACCACCCTAGAATTTTCCAACCTCCTCATTTAATGCTGTGTGACGCGTGTTACAGATTTTCGATTTAGCACACACCCAGAGACATTTTTATATTTCCTTTTTTTTTGGGATCCCTTTTGGCCGAACTAAAAATTAGCCTCGGAAACGGAGAAAAAGTTTCATATTACATGCAAGCAATTTGGCAAATAAACTGTCAGCAGCACTGAGGGATATAGAAAAAAAGGGGCGGGAGTATATATATAGAAAGAGAGAGAAAGAGAATATAGTATGCAATGAAGATGGCCTGAGCCATCGATTGAAACCCTGAATTATTCACAGAGAGCCAAGGAAAATGCCGTGGCCCGTGTCCCCTGAGGGAAAACGCAGGATAAATAAGGCAGCAGCCAGGGTTGGAGATTTCAGAATCCTGCGTGGGTCCCCAGGGTTGTCTGCTCACATTACCTACCTACCCACCTCTACTAAAAAAAGCACAAGGAAAATCCAAACCTAGGCATTGACTTTTTATTCTCCAAAATCCATTTCGTTATGCTAAAGACAATAAAGCGTGACAGGTAATTAGATTAAACTAATTTCGGTTTCTCTCTCTTTTTTTTATTGCCAATCAGTAACGAATTCTCCTCCTTTTTTTTGTGCCATTTTGGTTAATAATTTTATTAGTGTTTCCCTTGTCAAAGTGGCGGAGTTGACAACCGATTGCCGCATTGCAACACTGCCTCATCGTATATATACATATATATATTTTTGTATCTGGTGGACTCGCTGCTGTCCCTTTATCGAGGAGATGTGTGTGCGAAAAGCAAATAATTAATAATTCATGCAACACGATTGACAGTGCGCGCCCCAGTTGAACTCGTTGGTCCTTTTTTTGCTCGGTTTTTACTGTACTGTGTGTAGTACTGGGCCTCCTTTTTATTTGTGGCACGCTCATAAATTTACAATTACACATGCCAGTGTGGAGTCGGTAGCCCTCCTGTTGCCTCCTTTTGCGTTGTTTTTAATTTAATAAATTAATAAAACGGCAAACGTGACAACACTGGCAACACTGGCATCAAAGTGGCAAAGTGTTCCCATTTGCATTTTTAATGCACTTTACCCTGCAACTCGGCGCGTAAAAATAATTATCAACTGAATCGACGATGAGTTGCCGACAAAAACACAGTGAGACACGGACATTGGTGAAATGCAGTCAAATTTTTGTATATAATTGAATTTTCTCAACATGCGTGTCAACTCTGACACTCTCTGTCAAAGGCACACCACTGCCATCCCTTTTTAGCTCCACAAAATTCAATTTCAATTTCACTTTCAATTGCAGTTAATTGTTAGGGTCTCGGGCCCTCCCCACCACCAAAACCTAGAAAAATGAAAATTCAAATTTAAAACTCCACCACAGACAGAGACAGAGAGAGAGAGAGTGAGAAAATTGTACTTTTCCTTTTGGCACACTTTGGACATACAATGGTGAGGACTCTGGAACTCTGAAGCAGTAGCTCCTCACCTGCTGAACGCAGTTAACCCCAATTATGGGCACAAAGACCCAGCCCAGCCCAGCCCAGCCCAGACAGAGAGACAGACAGAAGACCAACTAGTAGCCTGGCAGTAGTTAAAATATTTAAGCCACAACAGCGAGGAGAAAAATGTAAGTAAGATGGAATGCTGCCGCAGGCATTAAAATAATATGGATAAGGAAGCGGTTGTTAACCACGAAACCGCTCAAAAATGAATGAATGAATACAGCGCGAAGCAAGGAACAGGAGCTGGAGTAGCGCAAACCCGGAGTCGCGTGCTCTCCATACTCCGGGCAAGTGAGTGACTCCACGGCTCGTTCGGACTTTGTTCATTATGCGTTTCCTGTTTGCATAAGACCGAAAAAGTGAAAAACCCCGCCGTAGTAATTGTTCTCCGCCACTGCGGCTGGCAGCCAGCGATTCTTCCTCCGGCTTTTCCTTGGCCGCTGCTAGTAACTGGTTGCTGGCCCCATTGTGCTCGGCGTTAAATTTCGAAAGTTTGCCCCTGCCCGGCTTTGGCTTTTCTGCCTTGAAGCTATTTGACAAAATGAGAAAAACGGAGCGACACGGCCAAAAAAAAAAAAATAAGAAAAGGAAGAAAATAAAAGTGAAAATTGCATTGCTGGGCGACAGGAAACAGGCGAGCGTTTTCGTTTTCCCTCGTTTTTCTTTTTTCACTTTTAATTATGCAGCGAACTAGAGTTCAGTCAACATAGCATCGAATTGGTTCGGAAAATACAATTTTTAGCAAATGAAATTGAACAAACAACAAAGTTATATTGTAAAATAACAAGCGGTGTTTGGAATGAAAGGTAAATATTATAGTTTCTTAGCCGAAAATTGGGTTTATAGATATTATTTAATATTTACGGCTAACAGCATGTTATTTAATTACATTTTCCTATCTTAATTAAACAATTTTCAGCATTTGAATAACATAAACTAGTTGTTAATTTTTGTATAAATTAAACAACAACAAATTGCCCTGCATCTGTTAACAAATAAATGACAATTTTCCCATTTTACTTTCAAATTTTGTTGGTAATTTCCCAATGTTTTTCACATTTTCTCTTCACTTTGACATTACTCAATGCCATCTGGCGTACGACTCCACTTCAGTCATTTGTCCTGCCCGCCCCCTGAACTAACCTTACTAATGAATTCACCTTACCGAAAACTGTGCCACATTTGCCTGATTAGCTTCTCAGCTGTTGTTTCTCGGGTGAAGTTAATGCAATCCAAAACCCACCCACTACTGCCCCATGCCAACGACGACGATGACGACCCACTTACACAGGCAACGGGTCTCCGACAATGAAATATATTTTTAATCAAGCCAAATCGAATTCAAAGCAATACACCGGTGCCTCATTATTTAGGCAAATGTTTGGCCATTAACTACACACAAAACGCCCAAGAGTCCGAGAATTGGAGAGTGCTGATGGTGATGGTGATGGTGACCCTCCTCCTCCTCCTCCTCCACCTTCTCCTTTGGGGCCCAAAAAATTACAACAACCGAAAAACAAATTGACAAATGTTGCCACTTAATGTGAGACGGGGTAAAAATGTTTAACAATTTCGTGTTGCCAAAAATATACAAACTAATTAATAAGAGGCAAGTATCGAAGGGGAGGGGCGGAAAACCAGGAAAGCAGCTAAGGGAATTCGAATTTAGTAAGCGAAGTGAGTGAGTGACTGCCACACGCTGGATTTTATTTGATTTTGTAAAAAAATTTAATTTCAACCCAGAAATTCTTACTTGGGCGGCAATTTTTTAACGCTGTCTTCGCTTTGGAGTGACTCGCCGTGACTTCCTTTCAGTTTTGCCGAGGGAATTTAGCATTTTGTTTGAATTATTGCCTTCATTAAGATTGCGTTGTTGATTTGCTCAGCAGCCCTCCCTGTGTGTGCGTTCGTTTTTTTTTTTTCTTACTTTACATTTTCCCTGTGAGCGACAGCCTGACTCCACCTCTGCGTATTTCCCAGAGTTTCTTCTTTGTTACACCTAGACCTGAACCAGACTCTCTGCCTACCCGCTGCCCAATTATTTTGGACTCTTCTATATACATCTTGAATGTTGTGACTCTGCACTTGACAATAAATTATATTCAGCGAACTGGGGGGCTTGTATTTTTAGCTTAATTGTGAATGAAGTTGATCTGCCTTCTCGTCATGTGCCGACATGTGCCCACTCCCCCTTGGATTTTTCACTTGGTTTTTTTTTTTTTTTTTTTTCGTTCTGCCTACGCGTGTGTAATTGTGCGAAATTCATTCACATGGAAAATTTGCCAGACTGTAACCGCTGAAGTCATAATTATGCGAATATTTCTCCCCCCGCGGAAATGGGTTTTTTGATTGGCATTGTGAGAGGGGGGCCATCAAGGAAAGTGCTTTATTACTTTTGGCCACTTGATAATTTTGGTTAATTAAGGGTGGAAAGCTAGTTCCAGGCTAGTAAGCTTTAATACATTTTCCTCAATCTTAAGTTCTTCTTCAACTCTTTCGATTTTTCTTAGAACATGGATTAAGTTCTTATGGTTTACTCTTACTATTTTCCCTACTTTCTAGCAATTGTCTAAGCAAGGCATTACACATTTCCCTAAGCTGCTTAGGAAATAGTTCCTTCAACAGAACTTGGCCAGAACTAACCAGCCAAATAGCCAAACAGCCAAAGCATTCAAGCTGGAAGCCAACAACCAACAAAGCTGAACAAAGCACAAGAGCGAGAGGAGTTGCCATTAAACCACTCATAACCCAGATACTTTAAGAGGGTGGTGGCGGTGCCGGCTGAGGAGAAAAACAATAAGTACAAATGGTATGGGAGGGAAAAAGCTTGAAGAGAGAGGGAAAAGCAGGCAGCTTGTTGGCCGGTACTTATGCCAAATGCGTTTGCGATTTGTGTCAATAAACGCAGGAGCATGGCAAAGGAAAAACCAGTGGAAAACTCCAGTGGCAGTAGCGGCAACTCGAGGAGCGAAAGAAATTTCTATTATCTGTGCAAAGTGTGCGCGAAATTGAAAATTGCAGGCTGTCGTGTCCCATTCCTCGTCCTTCCTGTTAGCAGGGTGTAGTAGTAGGGGCGGCACTGCTCTAAATTTTCATAGCCATGCCAGTTGATAAACCCTAATATGACATTATGGCAAAGAGCGGAGAGCTTTCGGCTTGTACGCCTTGGCGTATGCCAGCATTTTGTGAAATTGCAATCGTTGGGGGTTTCGAGTTCGCGGGAAATCCCCTTTGGCGCAAGTGT